AGCGGGCAGGCACTTGACCTTCGAAGTGCCGACGAATATTCGCCTCCGTGATGAGGCGATCACGGGAATCGTGTGCCGACGCATGCCCTTTTCCTTCAGGGGCGGGAGGCCTCCGTATTTTGCTGCTGGCGAGGGGGGGGGGGGGGGTGCACCATAACCCCTCCTCCCCCCCTTTTCGTTGTCCTCGCCCTCCGTACGGACCGGTGCCCGTGCCCGCCCTACCGATCAGCAAGAAAGCCCTTTTCCGCCCGGCGGCCCCGGTTCTCGGCGCCGGCCCAGCAGGGAGGGCCAGGTCTGCCCCTGGCGGGCGGTCATTCTGGACCTTGTTGACCGCGCCCCTGGGGTCTTGAGTGAGGGGGCCTGTGGTTGGCTTTAGCCGCTTGTTTTTTTTCCCCCCCTCCCCGTCTTCGCAGGGGCCGGAGGCAGGGGCCTCCCTTCCCCCTCCAACCGCTGCCGTGTCATCCTCTCAAGATCTCCACATACCGAGCATCCCCTTCGCCCGTCCCTCCACGCACAAGGCGAACCATCCTCGTGCCCAGTCGCCGGTGCTGGTTGTTACCCCGCGCCTTTCACCCCCCCCCCCCTCCTCCCCATCCTGATCCACCCTTAATATCCTCCTCCTGGCGCAGCCCAGGTCCGGATCGCCCCTCTTCCCTCGCCGTTTCTCGTTTCCTCGTCCTTTCCCCTGCGCCTCCTTTGGTCTCCTCCCCCTTCCCCCTCCCTTGTCTCCTCGCCGGTTGTCAGCTGGTCGCGGATCTCGGTCCTATCCGCTTCACGTGCCATGTCTTGCCTGTCTATCCAGCCGGACCCTCTGTTTAAGCCGCTCATCTCCTATGTCCTCCTGGCGGAGTTCGACATTGACAAGGGGTCGGTCTTGAGTTCGCAGTATCCTTCTGAGACCGGTGTTGATGTGCAGTGCGTTGCTCGCCCTTGACCATGTGGCGTGTGTCTGTGTGCCTGGACCATTGTGGCCACAGGCGCACATGCGCCCAACCATTCACACGCGCACGCGCACATTTGCCCGCGCACGCCGGCGTCTCCGACCTCCTCTCACACGCGTTTTACCTCTTCCCCAGACTCCTGGCAGAGCTGATGCTTCCCGACGGAGCGCACAACCGCGAGCAGGATTGGACCACCTTCGGGCTGAACTTGCCCCACATTGTGCGCGCTGAGCAGGCGCGCGAGGCGGCCAAGACTTCTTCCAGCGGATCTGATGCCAACGGCACCACGGGCAAGTCCCTTGCCGAGCAGGCCTCCGACCGGCTGACCCAGGCCGCCGAGCGTCTGGCACATGCGCGCGAGGTGGTCCTCCAGTTCCTGAAGGAGCGGGACCTGCTCCCTCCTCCACCGGAGCCTGCCCCACCGGCTGTCGGGTATGCACTGTCCTTTCCCTGAATGGCCGCTGTGGACATCTGCAACGCATTATCTGCCTCTCTGACGCGCATGTACCTTCACACCCACCCGCCCCCACCCGCACCGGAAAACTCATTGGCCTGCCTGCCCAAGCTATGTGGCGCGCATCGATTGTGTGGTGTATCAGTACACCGAGTCTAGCCAGGGTATGTATATATATATATCTCCCCCTCTCCCTCCCTCCTGCGCTACCAAACCCCCACACACTCTTTCTTTCCGTCTCCCTCCTTTCCGTTGATGGAAGTGCGATTTGACTAAGCATCCCCGCCTTGGCCCGATGTGTCCCCATCAAACAGACTGGGAGCCCCTGCACAATGATCGGATTCCAGTTCGGCTCTCCAACACCAAGATCCAGATTGGCCCACCCATTGACATCGACAGTTTCCCGGCCATCGATATCCCGGCCGGATCGGCCATCCAGTTTCAGCAGATGGAGCCGCTGTATGATGTCATCATCACAGACTCCGCGGCGTATGGCATGCGCTTTGTTTCCGAGGGCGACGAGGTTGCCTTCCTCTCTGCTCTGAGTGCCTTCTCCTCGGGCAATCCCATGCCCCCGCCCGGCCTCTATGCCGACCCCCATATGAATCCCCCCCCGCCGGCCCCGTCCTCCCTTTATGAGAGTCTGACGATCGGCGGTGTGATCACCTCCCTGTCTCCTTTGACCATCGACCGGGCGGCCCTGCCGGAGAATGTGGCCGACGAAATGGCCCCCTCGCTGGCTGATCTCGGAGATGCGGAGTCGGCCTTGCGGTCGGCCGAAGCGGCCATTGCCGCCGAAGCGGCCAGCCGTGCTGCCGTGGCCAGCTCCTCCGGCCCGTCTGAGCTGGACCTCGGTGCGTACGGTGTCGTGTCAGGGCCGCGTACATTGTCGTGCCTGGACTCCCTCTTCCGGAAGGAATCACCTCCTCCCAATGTGGCCCTCTTTCCTGCCCCGTCTTTCACCCCTCTCACCTTTGCCCCGGTCCTCCCCTTATTTATGCACTTTTCTTCTCGCTCTACCACGGGTTCCCCTTTCTCCTCTTCCCCCCCCCCCCTCTCTCTCTCTCGCTGCCCTCCCCCCTCTCACCCCTGGCTATCTAGACTCTAGTGCCCCTTTCCTGCACGCGTTCAACATTGTCCGCACCAAGCAGGTTCCCGGGGCCCGGCGTGGCGCGCGGACCAAAGCCCTGGCCGTGTGCACAAGGCACCCCTTCGGCCATGTGTGGCGGCCGCTGCTGTTGTTGGCACTGGAGAAGTTCTTCGACACGAATGACACATCCGTCCTGAAGGATGTCTACGATGCGGTGAATGCAATTGATCTGGAGGCCCTTGGGGCGCCACGACTGACACCGTTGCACCGACGCCTCCTGCGGGCTGTCAGCGATGCGACAGCCATCGCAGCGGTCCTTGGCTTTGGTGCTGGACGGAAGCCCGCCACCTCGGGGGAGAATTCCGGCGAATTGGCATCCCCTGCGGCGCCCATCAGCGCGGCCGCCACCACCTATTCGATGCAGGCCGACCCGACATACTTCCTGACGCAAGTCCGCTTCTCGGGCATCGATCTACCAATCCGCATCCCCCTGACGACCATGCCGGATGAGGTTGGCGACGTGCGTCCCCCCCCCCCCCCTCCCGCGCTTCCCCTTTGATCACTGCGCCTTCTCTATGGTCTTTCCTTTGCTGACCGTGCGGTCCTTCGTGGCCCGACATCTCACTTGCTGTCTTGTGGTGGATGTTAGTTTTCTCTCATCGAGCTGATCCAAAAGTTCGGTCATTCGACCGTGGGCAAGGGCGAGAATGGTATCATGGCCATCTTCAACGGTATGGTGATCGCGCAAGAGCCCCACCAAGCGGCGACAGAACAGAAGAAAAATAAGCCAACACACAGCGCACGCATCCATTGGTAGCCGGGGGTGTCCTTGTTTTTCCTGACACCCTTCCCCTGATCTCTGTCCTCTCGAACCAGCCCTCCTTCGCCAGCAGCGCATTCTCTTCGTCGGATACCAGCGCCCGGCGTCCGAAGTGTCGAACCTGGCGCTGGCTGCGTGTGCGATGCTGGCGCCCACCCTGCGTGGTTTTGCTCGCCGTGCCTTCCCCTATTCCAATCTCACCAATTTGGATGGCATGCTGCTGGTGTGCGTGTGGCGATCTGCCATCCTCCCTTGTTGTCCAGATGTTCTTGTGTGCATCTGTATGTCGCACCATCTGTCCAGTACTGATCCCCCCCCCCCCCCACACACACACACACACACACACACACACACACACACACACACACATACACGCACATATGCCCACGCGCCCTGCAGCCCTGGCTACATTGCCGGTGTCTCGAATCCCATCTTTGAGGACATGGAGAAGCGGTGGGATCTTCTGTGCAATGTGAACACCGGGCAGGTGCGCTATGCTACGCACCTGCTGACTGCGGCCCAGGCTGGGCCCAGTGCCAGTGCTTCTGGCTCCCTCGATCATGCCTATGGCTCCATGGCCAGTGGAGATGGCCAGCCCGGTGGGTCCCTGTCAGCACCGATTTCCCCGGCCCCGGTGGCCGGGTCGGCAGATGCGGTTGGTGGTGGTGCCGAGCCGCATGTGCCTCTGGACAATGCCTTCATCAAGGAGGTCCTGCTGGCGGTACAATCCCACCAATCCGAGGCGCAGATCCGTGCCAAGTTTGACGCCTACACCAGTGCCCTCATCTCTCAGGCCTTTGATGAGGGGGAGTTCCGGGACAATAGCGAGGCCAAGCGCACGCTGGCCGCCAATCGCCGGCGCCTGGATGCCTGGAAGGCCAATTCCGAGAGCTATCGCTTCTATGTCGAGGTGCGTTTGGCCGGACTGTCAGCCTGCCAGAGGGGCAGTCTCTTGTCCTCCCTTGTCACATTCCCCTTCCTGCCTCGTGCTCGGGTCTCGCATGGGGGGACCTGTCCGGCCGTTGTGCTGACTTGCCTGCGGGCCATTGTTGTTTCTTTCCTTGTCCCATCCGTACACCACCCAACGCCCGCTTGAAACGCCACAGGATCGCGAGACCTGGGCCAAGACCCGGCCCATTCGCGAGCTGAATGTCGAGCGCCTCATCCGGAAGCTGCGCATCCGTGCCGTCATCCCGGAGGCCGAGCTCGTGACCACCCTCGAGTCGCTGGTCCGGTCCATTGACACTGATGACAAGCTGCTTGAGGTGCGCTGTCGGCATCTTGTCCTCCTTGTCGCCTGCCCCATGCATTGCCTGCTCCACTGGAATCCTCTATTCTCCCCTGCCTCTACATCTCTTTCTGTTTCTCTCTGTCTCTCTCTGTTTCTCTCTGTTTCTCTCTGTCTCTCTCTGTCTCTCTCTGTCTCTCTCTGTCTCTCTCTGTCTCTCTCGCTCTCTCACACACACACAACAACCTGACGATGAGACAGCTCCTGTCTTACCTCCCGGAGTATGATGGTGGCCTCTTCCCCTTGGGGGTGTCGCTTTACCATCCATCGGAGTCGGTGCGCCGGGCGACGGTCCAGCTGTTTGCCCGGATTGACCAGCTTCACCCTGCTTCGCGACTGCGCGAATCCGAGTCTCCGGATCTAGCCCGGCAGGGTCCGGCCGGTGGCGCCGGTGGCGCTGGCGGGGCCGCTCCCACAAGCACCGGCTTCATCGCGGGCATGAACCACTTCCTCTGGCTGGCCTACGAGCGCAATCGGAACCTGCTGCTGTGAAAGAAGAAACCTGACGCACAAGGCGGCAGCAGGGAGTCACGCGGCTCTTTCCTCGCCCGCCTCTCCTTCTTTCGCTCCTGGCATTTCTCATTCCCCGCCCCCCGGCGACTTTCTCCCCGGCGTCCCCTTGCTTGGCGTGTGGGACTTCCTGGTCCCGGCGGCAACTGCCGACGAAGGGACAAATAGACTATCGACATACATTTCCGCCAGCGTGGGCAAATATCGAACGTGCCGCGCGTGCAAGTGCCGACGCTTGCAGTGCCGCGCGGATTTCCCGGAGTCTCCCGGGGCGCGGGCGAGGGCGAGGGGGACATGCGGCCCTCCCGTCCAGGGGGGGGGGGGGGGGAGGGAGAAACAAAGAGCGGGGTGTGCCGAGATCCCGCGCGCGCCGGGTGGGCCACCTGCGCCGGAGTATTTTTCCGCCGCACGGGCGCCCTGACCAGGGCAGTGGCACACACCCCCACCCAATTCCTCCCCCGCCTCTCCTTCCGTCTGTCGCCACCCGGTTTTGCCCCCCCCCTCTCTCTCTCTCTCCCTCCCTCTCTCCATCCTCTCCCTCCCTTCCATCTGTTGTTTGCACGGGCACCTACATCTACCCACGAAATATGTCTGCTCCGGCGGCTAAGAAGCGCGGCCTCTCCTCGCAGGCTGGCGCCTCACCCGCGGCCAAGCGCCAGGCCATTGCTGGCGCCGGCGCAACCAAGCCCAAGCGCCTGTCGCCCGAGGATTTCGTCGCCCTCTCAAAGGAGATCCAGGAGATCGTGTCCGCTGTGCGCCAGGACAAGCGCGAGCTCAACCGCCTTGTTCGGCTGGAGGGGCTTTGCAAGGTACATGCCGCGCGTACTTCGCACATCCTTCGTGTGCTTACCACGGCCATCGTGTCTCTCCGGCCGGAACTGACCTATCTGCATTGGATCCAGCACAACAACTCTCGCGTGGCGCACGCAGCCATCGAGGCCTCCGTGGGCTTCTTCTCGCAGTTCATCGGGACTCTGCACCGGGAGAGCAGCACCCTGGCGCTGGCCTCCAGCCGCGAGAAGAAGGCTGACACCACCAATGCCAAGGACAACCAGCTGCACGATGCGGCCAACCGAGTTCTGTCTTGGACCCGGGACCGGTACCAGGTGTATGTCAACCTCCTGGTGGCCCAGTGTGCCGGGGGCGCCGAGGCTGACATCCTGTGCTGCCTGCCGGTGCTGATGCAGCTCCTGTCGATCGAAACGCAGGCGGCCTCCGAGAAGGCCAGCGCGTCGATTGCCCAAGCCGAGGCGGCAAAGTCCGGCGGCACCAAGTCCAAGACCCAGCTCGCGTCGTCGGGGGTGTTTGTTTTCTCCGGCGACCTCTTGGATCAGGCCATGGAGGCTGTCCTCTCGCACACTTCCGGCCAGCCGATGGCAGAGGCTGTCACCAAGATGCTGGTTGAGCGGTACCTGGCGTACCCGGACCTGCGCTACTTCATGCTTCGGTCGTTGCGGTATGTCGGCCACAGCCGGTCGGCCAGCTTGCCTTTCCTTTCGGTTCTTGGGCTGGGCCAACTCCTCGAATGCCACTCATCCCCCCTTCCCCCCCCCCCCCCCCCACTAATTTTCTCCTCTCATGCTGCATCTCTTGCCTCGTCTGGCAGTCGCCTGATCAACCGTCGGCTCGAGTCTGCCGGTCCGGCTCACGATGTGGACAATGTCACCTTCGCGGCGAATGTCCTGGAGCTCATGCTGCGTGTGCCGATCCCCTCTAAGGATGGCGATCTGATGTACTTCTCCGAGTCGATTGGTGTGTTGCTCGTGCCCTTGCTTGTCGCTTCTTCGTCTTCTCCACCCCCTTGCCCCCCCCCCCTCCCCCCCGAGTCTTGAGTTGTTTTTGTTCATGCTGCATGTCCATCGGGGGTTTGCTGACACAATTCGCCTCTTTTCTTGGCACTGTGGCTCTCAGACAAGTCCACCCGCGAGAAGGTCAAGAAGGACCTGCGCAGCGTTTATTCGCTTGCTTGGTTCGCCACAGTTCGGCTGCCGCATTCGCCGCCCGACCTGCGCCGAATGCTTGGAGCCCTGCCGCGTCAGGTGTACCCCCATCTGACGGGGCTTACGCCGCTGGTGGACTTCCTGACTGAGCTCTTCACCAAGACCAGCTCGCGCACCGACACGACCAATGCCTCCGGCGTGCTGGCCCTCCTGAGTCTGGACAGTATCTACATCCTCATGCTCAAGCACAACATCGAGTATCCGGACTTCTACAACCGCCTGTACTCTCTGTGTGATGACCGCCTGCCGCGGTTGAAGTACCGCGCGCGCTTCCTGACCCTGACGGATCTGTACCTGCAGTCTCCGTGCGTGCTGCCTCCCTGCCTCGCCTTCGCATTTTTAGTCAGTCCCCTTCCAAAGCAGACACGCACATATGCTGACACCATGGCTTCCATCTCTCTCTCTCTCTCTCTCTCTCTCTTCCTCTCTCTCCCCACCTTACCACCTCCCCCCTCACCTTCTTCGCTCTTCAGACTCCTGCCCGGCTACATTGTGGCCGGTTTCATCAAGCGCTTCGCCCGTCTGGCTCTGACTGCCCCCCCGTCGACGGCCATTGCTCTGCTGGTGTTCGTGTATAACCTTCTCAAGCGGCATCCCTCATGCATGGTGCTTCTCCACCGCCCATCGAGCACCAGTGCGTGTTCTTGCTCGAGTGTTCCCCGGAGGGGAGCGAGCACCTTTCACCGGGTCCTGGCTCATGATTCTGCCCTTCCATTGCATCCGCTCCTTTTGTCCTCAATCATGTGTCTATCCTCTTCTAACCCCCTTCTTCGCGGCCGCCTGCTCTCAGGCAACCCCGGCGAGGATGTCTACAACACCGAGGAGCCGGCCCTGGACAAGTGCCGTGCCATTGACTCGTCCCTCTGGGAGTTGCATGCCATGCGGTCGCACTACTCGCCGACCGTGTCGAACTTTGTCAAGAATTTCATGGAGCCTCTGCGCCGGTCGTCGCTGGATCTGGCCCAGAACCTGGAGAGCACTTATGAGAGCGTACGTTGTCCAAGAAGAGACACGGGGCAAGAGAGGGGGAGAGACGGGCAAAGGAGAAAGTCAGAAAGAGAAGAACTTTGTCAAGAATTTCATGGAGCCTCTGCGCCGGTCGTCGCTGGATCTGGCCCAGAACCTGGAGAGCACTTATGAGAGCGTACGTTGTCCAAGAAGAGACACGGGGCAAGAGAGGGGGAGAGACGGGCAAAGGAGAAAGTCAGAAAGAGAAGAGGAAAAGCCAATCTAACACCCTCGGTCCCCCGCCCCCTCCCCTGCTTTGCCGCCATCCATCCTCCTGCAACACGTTCTTGTCATTTGCTTGGTGCCCTTCGGCTCTCCGGGTAATGGCGACTTCCTTCTGTCCCTTCGGGGGATGGTCGTCTTGGCTCTTTCCAGCTCTTTGAGGCGGAGTTCCGCCGCAAGAAGGCCGATCAGGTGCCGGTCACCTTCGAGCGGGGTGTTGGCCTCCTACCGAAGACCGGGCTGCTTACGCTGTCTTTCTTCCAGGAGACTGACGTCGCGGCGCCGGCCTTTGCGGCGGTTGCCGCGACCGAAGTGTCGGCCCTGATTCAGTCTTCGATTGAGGCCACCGACAAGGAGGCCCTCGAGGCGGCCGAGCGTGCCATCCAGGAGGGCAATGTTTCGGACTTGACTGACAGCGAGGAGCACGCCGGCGATGCAGCGGGCTCGGACTCGGACTCCGAGCTGGATGAGGTCACCCTTCGTGGCCTGGCGCCGACGCTGGAGGTTAGCTCCGACGAGGGGGCCGCCTCGGACAGCGATTGATCTGCCTGCCCATCCGCTCGCTACCCCTGCGTTACCCGTCGTCCCCCCCTCCACCCCTTCCTTCCCCGTTCCCCCCATGGATTGATGAAGATTTGTCCTTCGCTTTGTTCGCACTTCCATGATATTTTAAGCAGGAGCTATACACACACACAAATATTCATGTGCACCCCCCTCCTCCTGCTGTAGACGCCCTCCTCCTCCTCCTCTTCCCTCCTTTCCATGTTCCATGTTCTTGTCAACCATGCGTGTGCACACATACTCTCCCATAAACCGCTGAAAGTCGATCCCCTTCCCCTTGCTCATCACTCTCTCTCTCTCTCTCTCTTTCTTGTCCCCTCTGTGTCTCTCTTCCTCGCCAGGTCTCAAACATGTGTGTGCGCTCTGGGAGGCTGGGTGCGGTTGAACAAGGTATCTGTCCACGTGATCTCCGAGTGGGGATCGCCTTGTATCTCTCCCCGGCTGTTGGCCGGCCGGTTGGCTGGCTCTCTTGCTCACGCGCCTTCTTCCGTTCATGAGGCCCCCTCTCCAGGGACGCCTCTCAGCTCCATCTCAGGAGAGAGCCCCATCTACCTGATCGTGCTTGGCTCTGCTATCACCCTTTCCATTCCCCCCCCCCCCCCCTCCCCGCCCCCGCCCCCGCCCCCGCCCCCGATCCAACCTGCTTGCTTTTCCCCATCTCCCTTTGCCCACCTCTTGTAAGCCATTCATGAAGCCTGCCCTTTCTTGGATTCGTCCATCGAGTGCGTTGTCTTTCCCACCTCTTTCTTTGTCCCCCCCATTCGCCACGCTAATTCCGACATGCGCGTGTGTAGCCGGCCAGCAGGTGCTCCTCTCATCGGCTTGGTCGATCGGGGGACGATTGGCCAGTTTGGTCAGCCGCTCGGCGGTGCGGCCGGAGGATGGCAGCAGAGCCGAGCCCCCATTGGACCTTGACCACTTGGCAGCCCTGTCGAGCCTGGACTTGGGGGCCATGCTCCGGGCGGACCGGGACTCCCTGCCTGCGCTTGAATCGGCGGCCGATTTGCGCCGGCATTTTGAGGATCGCATCCGCCAGGACATTGCCCAAATTCGCCAATGGACCAAGTCCGCGCAGGCTGCCGCCGAGGAGCTTCCCCCGGAGGTCGGCCATCAGGCTCTGGTCGATCGGCTGTTGAGGCATGATGTCGCCCGAGCCTTGCCGTTTGATTTGCTGGAGGACCCCGCGGTGTGGACGGGGTCCGGCAAGACCGGCGACGCCAGTCCTTCGGAGTTGCCAGGGCTGCCCAGCCGGCGGACTGGTCTACATGTGGATCCGGTGGAGCATGCGGCATTGTCGGCCGGCAGGTATGTGCTGGCCTCGTTGCCGGTGGCCACGGCTGGTGCCGGGAGTTTTGGTGATGAGGAGGATGAGGGCTAGCATTTTTCTCCCTTCCCCCCGCCCCCCTGTCTATAGATGTGTGTATGCATTTGTCTCTTCGTTGTTTGTCTTTTCTTGGACATCTCTATGCACGCAATATGGCCCATGCCATGGATTCGGGGGAGTTCTCATCGAGGGGTTTCGTATTTATTTTTAATTGGCGTGGTCGAACAAGGGCAGGGAAAAGCGCACGCGTTTGTGTGTTGAAAAGGAGGAGGCCGAGCATGCGGGATACCACTCGCGGGTGGGTGGGGAGATAGGAGGGGGGGGGGGACGGGGGATGGGGTGGAAGGTGCGTCAGCGCGCGAGGAGTGCTTGCCTCGTGCGCCCACTCGCATGGTCGCTTAGGGGGAGATGCCAGGGCCAATCCAGCCAGTGCGCTGGGGAGCAATGAGAGGGTTGGCCTGAGCAAGGTAGCAGATGGCCCACCTATGAAGGGGCAGAAGACGAGAGTGGCCGGGGGGGGGTTGGGGGCCCAGGTCAGTAAAAAGGGGGCAAAAGGAGGACAGGGCGAGAAAGTGGGCATGAGCGAAGCAAGAGGGCCGGATGCTTCCGGCCAAGGAACAGAGGACAGAGCATGAGCATACATCAGGTAGAGACACATGCCGGTGGCAACGGCCATCGCATAGCCAACACTGCGACGTGGGAGGGAAGGAAGTTAGTAACTGTGTCTGAGCGAGGGAGAAGAAGATGGGAGGGGCAAAGCCGGGTGGGGGGAGGGGGAGAGAGATAGTCACGCAGGAGCCAGCCGGCAGGCAGGGCGAGCGGAGGGAGAGCGGAGGAAGAAAGGGACGAGACATACCCGCGGTTGTTGGGGGAGATTTTGCCCCAAGGCGCGGAGATAATGAAGCAGGCCAGCCCGGTGAGGGCGGCGAAGACGAAGAACATCCAAACGACGGCGACAGCGGAGGCCATGGTGGCTGCGCATGCGCACGCACACGCAGGCGGGCAAGGAAGACAGGGGGGGGGGGGAGAGACAAAGGTGTGTGGCGGTCAGCACCGGGGGCTGGGGCTTGTGCCGGGCGTGGGATACACGCGCGGGTGGGTCACGGCTGAGGGGAGGAGCGGGCGAGGATGACAGGGCACAAAGAGGCGTGGGGGGGGGGCAGCGAGGTACATGTGGTTGGAGGAGAGGAGGGGGGGGGGGCGACAGAAACAGTGGGGGGATCACGGAGGGTGTCTGGTGGATGCCGGGGCCGGGTGCCGTCGAGGCGGCATCTCTTCGCCTCTGAGAGGGGGCTCTCGGCAGCAAGGTGAAACCCTCTTCGGAGCCAAGGTGAGGGACGGGGGCGCCAGCGAGGCCTGGAGCCAGAACCAGGCCACCTGCTTGGCTCCGGGTCCCTGCGAGCGGGTCACAGCCACGACGGTTCGTTGGCCCCCGGGGGCGCCCCACACAGACACACACACACGCCGGTGTCCTCTTGCCCTGGCAAGAGGCGGCGGTTTCGGCGGCGGGTGGGCCGGGGGGGGGGGGGGGGGGGTCAACAAGTTGGGCGGGGGCTATTATTCTTTCAGCCGGGCCACCAAAGGGGCGCGGCGGGGCCGGGCCGGGCGGCGGAGAGACCTCAGCTGCCTGGGGCGGGCCCAGTCTTGGGGGTCCCCGTGCGCGGTGGGCCAGTCACCAGGTCTCAAGTGGGTCACTCTCGTCTTCCTGCAGGGCCAAAAACAAACAACGATCTGAGAGCCGCCGTGCGCGCCCCGGCCCACGGTCCGAGGGTTCCATGGCCAGCTGCCCTGCGGTCTGCTGGCCACACTGCCACCACCGCCGCCGCCGCCGACAGCGTGGTGCAGCGCCGTGTGTGGTACCTGCCTTTTTCGTTGTCCAAAAGGCGATTTTGAGGTCGCCCAGATTCAGGCCACGGACACCGGCCCCCCCCCCCCCTCTCGGCTCAATGCCGTGTGACTTGGACGCGCGGGATAGGCGTGTATGGGCGTGTGTAAATGCGGAGGGGGGTGCTTCCGCGCGCACGTATGCCACCCCGCGCCAAGGTCCGGCAGAGGGGGGGGCGGAAATTCACGACGAGGTGTGTATTTTCCGCAGGGAGAACCCGTGAGCCAGGCATAATAGTATTCTCGGTCATGTCCCTTAAATGTACGTATGGGCTGTAACATGATAGGCCGGGACGATCCTGCCCGCTCAATTGGCAGCCGCGACCTGCGCCCCTCCCCCCCGCCCCCACATGAAGACTGGGACCACCCGGGAAACAAGAGGGCGCGCCACTCCTTTCGGGGGAATTTAGTTTGATCAGCTCGCTCCTGTTCTCTCTCCCCTTTCCATATTCCCCCCCCCCCCCCTGAGCCCACTTCGTCTTCCTTTTGCCCTATCACCTACTCCAGCCCCCTTTCTGCCCGGTGACTCGTCCTTCTGGAGACTCTCCGAGAGTTGGCTCCCCTCTCCGCACATGAGGTAAGTGCCTCTCCCTTTCCAGCTTCCTTGCCTTCCCCGGTGCTGCCTGCTCGCTCCCCCCCTCTGGCACTTTCCTGCCGGCGCCACCGCGCGCCCTCCCCCACCCCATCCCGCTGGTTGCAGTCTTCTCACGCTCGTCCCCATCTCGGCCCATTTGCTTGCGAGCCAGGTTCTTCATCGATGATGTGGAGGTGATCTTCCCCTATTCATACATCTACCCGGAGCAGGCCCAGTACATGCACATGCTGAAGCGCACTCTGGACCAGCGCCGACTGGACCCGGAGGGCGGGGATCAGCCAGTGCATGTGGGTGGCAATGGCGGCCAGCCTGGCGCCCACGCCCTGCTCGAAATGCCCTCCGGCACGGGCAAGACCGTGACCCTGCTTTCTTTCCTGGTGTCCTATCAGGCGGTATGTTTCCCTCATTCTCCCGATGATGACCCGCGCTGGGTTTTTTCTTTTTTTTTCGCGTTTCCTTTCTCCTTGCTCCCACCCTCCTTGCCCTGTGTACGGGATCGACCTTGCTCCGCCTCTCACTTTTCTCCGGCACTGCTCATCCCCTGCCATGCAAACGGGCGACCACACACGTGCACGCGCACGCGCACGCGCACGCGCACGCGCACGATGCCCAACCGCAGCACTACCCCCTGACGACACCGACGATTGTGTACTGCACGCGAACCATCCCCGAAGTGGAGAAGACCCTGCACGAGCTGCGCACCTTGATGGCCTACCGGGCGGAGATTCTGCGCGAGGAGGGGGGCGATCCTCTTCAGACGGTTGGCCATCCGGCACACGCTGCTGCTCGGGCCCGGCTCCAGGCGGCCCTCGGCCAACCGGAGGAGGCCGGCGATGCCCTGCCGGAGGCGGACGCCCTGCCGATCGGGGCCCCGGCCACGCTGGGTCGATTTACGGCCGTTGGTCTCACTTCGCGACGGAACCTTTGCATCCATCCGAAGGTTGTGGCGGCCGGCATCGCGGCGGCCGGGGCGGCCAGCGCGGCAGCAGGTGCCCAAGACCAGGTTGCCGTGGCGGCTGCGGCCCCGGCGGCCGTGGTGGACGCGCGATGCGCCTCGCGCGTGGCTCCGTGGGTCCGGCGTCGACATGCCCAGTGGGAAGCTCGGCGCCGCACGCAGCCCCCTCCCATCGAGGGGGAGCCCACGCGCGACATCGAGGAGGAGCCGCCCTCCTGCGTCTACTACGAGGTATGTCCCTTTGACGGGGCGCTCGGTCTTCTCTGTCACCGTCCTCTCTTTTCTGTGTGCCTCCCTTTGGGTCTTTGTTTTGGGGAGTATTTCTAACCACCTTCCGCATGGCATGCGGTCTTGGTGTTTTGTAGAACTTGGCTGCCTTGGCCGAGGCCGGGCAGGCACACCCGGGTCCTGGGGTACACTCGCTTGAGGACCTGCTGACCAAGGGCCGTGAGCGCCGAGCATGCCCGTACTATACGGCTCGGGGAATGGTATGTCACCCGGCGGCCCGGGGCACTGGCCAGTGTGTTGCCAAGCACTAACACGCAATGCCGCCTTTGCGTCAGATTGCCCATGCTTCGATCATCGTCCACTCGTATGCGTACCTGATTGATCCGCGTGCATCGGCGCCGGTGACGTCGCAATTGCCCAGCTCGGCGATCGTCGTCCTGGATGAGGCCCACAACTTGGATTCCTCATGCACCGGCGTCCTTAGCGTGGACATCACGCGCGAAACGCTCGACCGAAGTGTCGAGGCCATCACCGCACTGGAGACCCGGGTGTCAGAGTGCGTGGCCGGGCCGGCTGGGACCTTCGTCGGCCGTTTGTTGTTGCTTCACCTCCCTCTCCCCCCCTCTCTCTTTCTCCCCGTTGCCCCCCCCTCCCCCCC